ATTAAACATGGAACAATTTCAAAATAATGCTTAATAACAAAGTTGAAATTCGATCTTCAACTGTTAATATCTTCTAGAAATTTTCGAAAAAAAATGTTTTAATATTTTTTTCGTACTCCCCAACGGAGCCTCTATCACCCCTTAAAAGGAATGACGCCAATTTTGAATCACCCTGTATCAAACCAAACGGGAAAAAATTAAAAGAAAAGTAATTTTGTTGTTTGATCTAACAATTAATCCGGCCAAACGCCCTAAGAAATTTACTTGATTTTACATTTTAGTTCTTTTAAAGCTGCTTTTGACAAAATGTTCTGGTTGTCCAATAAATCTTAACAATTTTGTTAAAAATTCCAAAATCGTCCTTTTAACAAAATCTAAATGTTTCCAAAACCGAATTTGCTGATGCAGTTATGAGCACGCCACTGGATTAATGTCGCTAAAAATGCGATAGTCACTTTTCCTCACAAGTGGATAATAAGCGAAATATGTGCGATTTTTGGATTTTGACTCAAATTTACTCAATTCCATCCGCAAGTTTGTTCGCAAAACACACAGCGGTTTCAATTGAGATTCAATATATTGAAAGAAACTAAGTGAAATATATTGAAAGTTGGCCGAATTAGTGGGAGTTTGAACGTTTTATGAAGCTTTCAAGTCCCTTCAATCGGGGATCTTTTCCGGAACAAACCCACCCACTTTGGTATGCATTTTGTATAAATGAAACACCGTAGGAAGGAAAATGTAGAGAAACCTTATGTTTTTGACCGAAAAACCGGCTCAACCCGAAAGATTTGAATCGATTTTCACTTTTTTTCCGAAAAAGACGCTTTTTGGCAAAATATCTGGGCTGTCGCCAGTCGCAACAAGGGTTCACAGAAAAATACAGAAAAAAAACACAAAAATCAGTGAGAATTTGCTGGTTTTATGGAACATTGAAGTTGCAAAAAAATGAAAACCAAATATGATGCCTGATGATGGTTGTTTACTCACTTTTTACCTAAAGCGAATAATAAGCAAGCGAGACTATGCAATTCCTTCCACGTTTTACTGAAAAAAAGCAAAATTTTGACTGTTCCCTCGAACCCCAAAAGCAACCAATCGTGCCAAAAATCCCACCAAAGTTTCGAGAACCAGCCATCCTCAGGCCTAGTCAATAGCCTGTGAGCCTGATGTCCAGTCAATCCCCTCAACAAATGCATGACTTATCAAGCAAATTGGAAGCGAATTGAAATTTCTAGATAAAAATGTGGTTTTCATCAACATCGGACGAGGAAACGTGCTAACGGAACTCGAACTAGTCCAGGCCCTAAACGAGAAATGGATATCCGGAGCGATTCTGGATGTCTTTGAAAAAGAGCCTTTGCCTCAGGAGAGCCAACTCTGGACGCTCCCCAATGTAAGCAACCAGAGGTTTTTCCTCCGGGGCTTCTAAATGTAAATTTTTTGCTCTGCAGGTTTTTATTACGCCCCACATTTCGGGCAACAGTCGGGCTCAAGACATTGCGGAAAAATTCCGAATCAACCTGGCCAGGTTTGAGAAGAATGAGCCTTTGGTGAATCAGGTCGACTTCGACAAAGGCTACTAGCTACTGTAACTTTTGAATAAATTACTTTATTGTACAGTTTCAAACGGTTTTTATTGTCGAGGGATCGGAACCATAAACCCCATGATTTTCAAACAGCCTTTAAAATATGCACCAGATCAGGCGGCGAGATAATTTGAGCCTCCCCGTACCACCATGCGTCTCCATATGCTCTTCAGACGCGCAAAATTCGCCCTTTTAAAGTGGGGTGTCGTCACTCTCTACATGGGGGTAGCACGCGCTGGTAAAAGGATCGCACCGATTTTGAAAGTTATCGTTTGACTAGGAAATTTATAAGGTAGGAACGTGTAGATATGCGGGATTCCCACGAGATTGGCCCGCTTGTTTCCATCCGAGTCAAACGAGGTCGAAAGCCTCTTTCAAGTCACTATTTTGCCAATGAATCAACTTTGGCAGGACTTTGCGTGAGTGTTTCGGGCACCACGACACTGTTATTTATTGAGTTAAACTGTTGAGTTATGAACGCTCACGTTGAAGAAGTGATGTGTTGATGGAGAAATTGTGCCGCTCCCTACGGACACGGCACTGGTTTTAAGCAACTTTGGACTGTTCGTTTCATAACGCATTTTCGCTTTGTTTGCCCAAACAGTCTCGTACAACAAATGCAATAAAGTATGGTTGATGAAGAAGAATTGATTGAGGAGTGGAAAAGTGGTGCTTGATGGTGGTTCTAACTTTGTCCTCTTCAACCAGTGCCGTGCCGAAAGGTTTCAGCACAACCTTCGTTTGCAGCAAACTGTAACTGTAGCCACTCCAGAACGATTCTTAACACGGAAATGTACGGCAATTTCCTTATTAAGCCTAGTGATGAGCGAGACTGGTGTTAGTCTTGCAGCCTACTCAAATCGCTTGGTGCGCCAACTCAACGCACCGGCGCAGTAGCTCAGTTCAGTTGCTGGGAAAATGTTGTTCACTTTTTTACTTCAGAATTTTTCAGTTTTAGCCGAGTTTTTACTCTTTCTTCTAAATCCAATCAAAGGAGATGCAAACTTATATTATAGTGTGTCGATAGTGTGCGATCATACACACTATAATACAAGTTTGCATTCCCGGATTGGATGATTTGATTGGATTTTCTTCAGTGTGTACACACCCACATCCTTCTTTTCTTCTAAATGCTCAATTTTCTAAAGTTTCACCTAAAAATGCTGCCAAATTTAACGTATTTTCCGTGAAAAATCATGGAAAAAAATTCGAATTCTTAGTCGGTTTGTAAAAAGTTTTAAAATACCTTTCCAGCGTTGAATTTGAAACCACAGTGAAATCATTTTCTATTAAAAACGAAGAGAATAAGCGAAAGTTTATAACAGATTATTTGGAAATCTCGTCACCTCAATTCCTCTGAAGACTGTAGAGTTTGTTAAAAAATTAGTGTTTTTAGGTTTGACTGAATCTTTTTTGCTTTACTTTCTACTCAAAAAAGCTCTATTTTGTAGAGTTTCACTTAAAAGTTCTGACGCTCTGGCGGTCTTTTACGCGAAAAATTACAAGATAAATTTCGAGCTTGTAAAAATATTACAAAAACTTTTTTCAGCGTCTAATTCGGGACAAAATCGAAAATAAATTCTTGCCGTTTTTCCCCGAAAATTATTAAGGTTTTCTCCAAAACCGGTCACAAAACTAAAAGTTTTTAATCGAAAGCGCAAAAAAACATTATTTTCTGATGATTTTCTTCTTTTCTGACAATAATGGGGTCTTTTAAGCCAAAAATAACAAAACTACTTTTGCTAGAAAAGTCGCCTCATTCATGGGTTTGCAGGGAACTTTGGAAAACCATTTTCAGCTTCGAATTTGGCACAACAACCAAATAGTTTTATTCAGTTTTTTACCGAAAGTAATTAAGATTATCTTGAAAAAACGGCCAGAGAGCAAAAGTTTACCAAAAACTATTTGGAAAATTCGCCAAAAAAGTTCCTTTAAATTTTCAGGTCATCCTAGTCTTAACAAAGTTTCTATTAAGCAATTCTTTCGACGCAAAAATCGCATTATTATTTAGTTAAAATGCTGACAATCTTCAGATAGTTTCTGTGAACAATCATAAGATATATTTTACTCGAACAGTCGCCTCCTTAACCGCTTTGTAAAAATTTTTGGAAAAATTGGCTTGGAATTATAGACAAAACGCTAATAATTAATCGTAGTTTTTTTCCCAAAAATATTTCCCCGAACTGAAAAACGAAAGTTTATTATCATTTATTTGGAAAACTCTCGGAAACTTTTTTTCTTTTCTTCGTTTTTTCGTTTCTTCACTATCAAGTCAATATTTCTAAACAACACTGTCCCTAAACAGAAAAACCGCGTTTTTTCCTAACGTGTTACGGTAAAATACTGGCAAACTGAATATTTCATGCAAAAAAAATACGAGATCGATTTTACAAGAAAACTCGTGGACTTTCTTTGGACTCAGTTCTGTTTCTGGAAAAATCTAGATTCTTTTTTTAGTTGTTTGAACAACGTAGTAAAACGTAACTCAGAAAAAATGTTAATAACCCTTTTCTAGATGTGAAAATTCCAGTCTCGGGTCTCGTAAAGCTTTAATAAATCACTTGTAACTCATGAACCGATGAGTTATAACTCGTTAACTTAAAGAGCGGCAACAGCTCAATAGCGCAACTCAGCACAGGGTTGCCAGGCCTAGTTTTCAGGCATCATTTCTTACTTCAAAAACATTATTGATTAAGGAAACAACCGTTAATTTATTTGAAAAAGATGACTAAAAGAACTTGGGATTAAGAGTTTTCAAACATCGAAAAGTTGCGATACTTTAGCAACGCAAGTTGGCTCAACAACCTAATGGATTTTGCAAAACTCACAAACAAAAACATCAACTCCACATCCAGAACAGTCGATATGGCATCACTCTTTGCACAAAATGCATTCAATACACGTTTCTCCCTTTGCATCATCCACAAACTTGCCTTGGCGATGGAGACAAGTTAACGGATTCTGCCTCTGGGGAGGAATTTTGAAGGCTCCTTTCTTCTTTCAAGTCAGTACAAGATGGTCGATTTCGGCCATATGATGATTTCTCTAACACATTGAGCTTCACTCTTTTGGCTTTTTTTGAATTGACTCAATTTATCAAAGTTTCGAAGTCATCTTTAAATGCCAATAAAGTTATAAGTGCAGCCTTTCCATGCGCTTTTCCTCTTGGCCTCTTTCTTTGCCTTAACGTTCCCTTCCTTCTTCAATGTTATCGGCTCTAATTCCAACTTTTGCTTCCTCAACATTTTCTTGGACTGCGGCAAAGAAATCATTCAGGGAACAAAACTCCCTGCTGCACTCATACACAAAACTTCCGTAAGTAAAGAACCCATTTCAGCGCAGATGTTAAGGCTTCCACTTGCTTCATTCTTCTAAGCGCCAGAACATATTGGACTTTGGACCGAACAATGTCTGACTAAAATTATTTAAAGTGCTTCACGCAGTCTTTTTTATCAGCAGCAGATAATCTTCCAAAAGCTCTTCCAACACCCTGTTTGTTTGTTCAATTCTTTGGGTGTTCCCTATAAAGAACATATTCCATATGTGGCACATTTCCTCTACTTAGCTACATTGGCCGGCAGAATCTCCCGATTCATCACCGTGTACTTTCAGTAAGCCTGCCCTTTAAACTTCATCTCCTGCACAATTTTTATATGTCCTTTCTCCAAAGTGGTTACCCATCCATGCACCCAGTTCAGGCATTTGCCCTCCCTAAAGCCACTCATTTCACCTCGCGARGAAGTGCGATCTAAGAATAGCGTGTTTCTAATGTCCAGCAATTATGCTGACCTTCGTATTCGGCAATAGCGAACGTCCGTTCACCCCTATTTGGGTGGACAAAGTATCAGCCGAGCTTATTGGACGCAAAACTGGAAAATTCGAGTGGAATATTAGGCAATACTCCTTTGTGCTTCGGCTACTCATTAGCTATGCATGCAAAGTGGACATAGTCGGAAAATGGGACAATTCGGTCCCCTACATGGGACAAAGCCGCCCTGGTAACCCAGAAGGCTGAATGGATAATGGATGTAGCTAAGCATCGATGGAACACTAACGATCATGCAACAAGAGGCTGCTTCTGAGGGTAAATCTCCCAAGCAACAGAATTACATTTGGTTTGGCACCGATTTGATCTGAAATAGTCCCCAAATTGGCRGTAATTGAATTCAACAGTATTRAGACAAGCTAATCTAGATGAATGAGACTAATGAAGTCAACCAGTTGCATCGTGCTTTTTACACAATATTTCGACGATCCACAAAGTMTTTTTCAATGAGACTGAACCTGATTTCATTTAAAACCAAATAGGATAAAGATGAACAGTGTTTTTACACAATGTTCAGTGCAGTGTCTTCCACAGTGAGGCTGATTTCATTTAATTCTTGATCGGGTAAAGATATACTATGTTTTTTACACAATGTTTAGTGTAGGACTGGGTAAGTCAGTAAATTTTTAGGAGTTAGCGCAGTGCTGCGCAAATGGCTTGGTGCGCCAACCCAACACAGTAACTCAATTACGTGGCTGGGAAAACGTAGCTTCTTTAAGCTGTCTGGAGTGTTATTCCGGTCTCAGGTCTCTTAAAGCTTTTATCCGCTTTAATGCATTATAACTCATTAACTCATAACACTCAGACAGCGGCAACACAGTGTTTCCAGGCCTACTACCAGTAGTCAAATTTGATCTATTGGCGTTCCAGATGTTTTTCTTTGTTTTTGAATTTTCGAGCAACCAGAAGCACAAGCGAGTTTTCTGCGGGTAAAAGTTGCGAGATCTTCGAGGACGGCAGAGATGTTTTTCGGCAAACACTAATCAATTGACAAGTTTACAGTGTTTTTTGCCGCCACACTGGTTCAAGAGAAATTAAATCCAAGTTGCGGCTAATTAAAAAACATAATTTCTGCCAAAGTGAGTGAGATGGCTTGATGCAGAATCGTGTATTCGAAAGAGCGCACTTTCTTCTCAGGGTGGGGAGAGTTTTGCTGTTAAGCCATCATCAGGCAGGTGGCAACTCAAATTTAAATAATACTGTGCATAAATTGTG